TTTTCATCACCAAGTAAATAAAAATGATATTCATGTTACAGCTGCGGTGGAAAACAACAATATTGCAACAGTGTTCAAGATCAAATGTCACATCTGTGTAGTTGTTTCACCTCACTGTTGTTAGTATGGACTGAAAATGTCATCAGCCATCCAGCTGCAGTAATGTGATGAACACAAATACGTAATATATTGAAGTGATGAAGTTAGACTGATTTGGCACCGTCCACTGGACAGGTGTGACCCGACAAACCTCATCAGTCTCTCTCCAAAGTGGATTATGGAAAGCATCTCCAGGTATAGACAGTGTGCTATTTCAAGTGTTTCACCATGCTCCATCATACCTGGCAAGATTACTCTAACTGTGAGTCTTTTATCGTGAATTTAAGGTTTAAATATGTACTGGTTTTCACATTGTTTTAGTTAAGAGTAATGTACTGTTGTTAATCACAAATTGTAACAACCCTAATTACAAGGAACCTAGATTAAAACTTCTTCTTGAAGTCTTAACAAGCTTCTTTCACCCAATATACGCAGAACATAAACAAATTTGTCCTTCATTTAAAAAACAGGGGTTTGCAACACTGAACATGGTTCTGTAAACACCAGCAACAACAGTGGAGTCTCTCGTTTGCACACCATACTAGCAGATGTCATCCTTCATAACAGTGTTGCCACCGCTGATACTTTTTTTTTTACATGTAATGAGGAAGGTAAGATTATCTCACAAAGTTCCATCAGGTATTTCATATGGCTAAATCAGTCTATTTATTCCTCAAAATTGCATTTCACCAGCAGCCCAAGGTCTTGCTGCAGCCTGCATAACAAGCTCAGTTAGTGTGGCACACGCTCGTTCTGGGACTCCAATTACAGAGCATCCTGGAAACCGGCTGGCATTTGTCTGTCTTTGTCTCTACCGTGCTGACATTCAGTTAGAGTTTATAGGGCGCTGCATTCCCCCGATCTATAATTATTTTTTTGTTTTCCCATCCACACTAAATGTAGGAATATAATGTTCATCCATCCATTTTCTTAACTGCTTATCCTGTTTGGGGCTGCAGCACATATGAGGTGAAATAGTGGGTCGGGTTACTCCCTGGATGGGCTGCCAGTCTATCACAGGCCAAAGGAACATTAAAGTATAAGACAATTGAACACATTCAGGAATGTATGTGTGTGAACAGGTTATCAACTGGTTGTGATTTCAAGGGAGAAAATTATGTTAAAGTCTGAGACAGGAAAATGTTTTAAAAAGATAAGTGACTTGTGGTTTTGCTTTAGGTTAAGGACATGCTAGAAACCACTAAGTATAATGAATAAATGTATTCTGTAGGATTTTTAAAACTCAGACTGAATCTGCACCTTTTCTTCACCAGGAATTCTTTTGCACCTTTCTGTAAACATTGACTGCATCACTGTATTCTGCTGAGCTGATTCTGTGTCTTCTCTCATTTTGGCTTGCTAGATGTCCATTGGAAATGTAGATGGTGACGTAGCTTGTAAAATTGAAGTTTTAACGCTAAATTGACCTCAGTTGTGTAATAATGAGAAGCCTCCAATGTACTGGGTGATGCTTGAATTATTTATGATTTTCTCTACAGTTCGCTTGCCTTCTCGTTATCGGGGCTGGAAATGAGTTTGCTGAAAACTGGCCAAAGTGAGATCTCCCCTCTCGGGCTTACAGAACATGGCGCATTAAAGTGAATCACAGCAGACAGCTGGGGCCGCCCTTTATGGTAATGCACCCTCTACAATTACTGCTTCGACCTTCCCTGCTGAAGAAAAATGGGGAGACGTCCATTTAGCGGCCCTTTCAAACACTTAGTGGCAGACATGTTGGGCAGCAGGATCACCTTTTGCCTGACATTGACTCTTGTTTAGAGGAGACAAAGAAGACATTAGAAAGGTGACAGGTTGACAGATGAGATGCATCTGTCAAACAGCAAGAGGACTGCAGCGCGTTAATGCGGCCACACCGCCCTGTGCTGCAGAGGTAGATGAAGCTGGTTGGGAATAAAGGTGCCAACTACAGCTCCAACTAATGGTTATCTCAATTACAGATAAATCTATCTATCAATTATTTTTTCAAAGTAAACAACAGTTTATAAAATAACAAATGGTGACACTGATCATCACAATTGTCCAGTGTCCAAAGAGACATTTTAAATTTTTTTATATATTAAATCAACAGCCAAAATTCAAAGATATTCAACTTTACAATGATAATAAATAAAGAAAACCCACTGGGAACCATGAAGAGGTGACTACTTGGAATATTTCTTGAAAACTAGTGTGAGTGGAGACACTCATTGTGGATATCAATTAGAGCTGAAATGATAATTCATCGTTTAAGTCATTTTTTTAGCAAAAGTTATTAAAGTTATTAAGTTATTAAAATAATGCAGTGGTCACTAGGATGGAAAAGATTTGTTGTGTTACCTTTCTTAGGTGTCACCAACCAACACCATATTTTGCAGATTGTCTTTGCTTTTAAGATATTCAAACCGCTTCTATATAATTGATGTTGCGCTACCTTTCCTGTCAACGAGTTCCTCAGCTTTGGAGGATAACAAAGTTGACTTTCAGCACTTTAGATTAACAAGTTCTGTGGCTGTGTAAAATAAATGGGTGTGGATTAAGTGGAGACCGTAAGTTACGTTGTGTTCTGCTTGCTCAACAGGTGTTTGATAAATTGATTATACCGTCTCCCTTTTGTTGCACTTATGGATAATGAACACTGTTGTCAGTGACTCCATTAAAATATATATCCTACTGTCTGTTTAACTCCGTTCGCTGTGGGCTCTGCTCTGAGGTTATCCTGCTGTTACTCGTTTATTTCTACTGTATGATAGGCTGTTGGATCTATCCATATCAAGTAAAAATGTCAAAAACGTATTATTATCAACATAAATTTTATCTCAGTCCCCCGTCAAAGTTGTTTCATCGCCCAGACTTTGAACTGTTGGTTGAACAACATCAAACCTTTAAATATTCCAACCTGATTGACTGAAATTACTTGATAATTAAAATAGTTAGTTGCAATCCTTCACTCTCACAGTGGGAGTGCTTTGGTCTCACAGAAGAAAGTGTTCTTTTAGCAAAACAAAGCTCGGTCAGTGCAAAGTATGGGTGTATGAAAAGAACTGGATACAACTTTGGGGGCAAATTACCCAAATCTTCCATTACATTAGGACAACAGACCAAGTACACTACACACTACGCCAGCCAAGCAGCTAACTTCCGCCAGCCGTGCCAGCTACTTCCGGTTTAGCATGCTGCTAACTTGAATGGGAATAAAATTATTTAATCGTGCGTCTCTTTCAGACTTTCAAAATGTCATGGGACATAACGGATCAAATCCAGATAGCAACACAAGTCATTTCACGCTGTTGTGACACTCAAAAAAAAAATAAAAAATTCCATTGAATTACAGACTTTGCTTTCCCAGTGTAACTCTATGGGAAAAAGTATTTTTGGGTGTGAAGTATCATCAGTTAATAAAGTTATGGTTAGAGTGTGTGTTCTGATTTTTTTTTTTTTTTTTTTAGTTTGCTGAACCCTCAAAGCAGAAAATTATTTTTGAACTGCTCTTTTTGGTGTTAAAGGTAAATGTATCTTCCAAACCTCTAAACTGTCAAATATATTATATTCATTGACTTTTCATATATTGATATATGAAATCACAGTAGAACAATAACTACCTACTACTATGCTGCTGATGCTGATGCTCTATATTTCAGACTTTACATACTCCAGTATATTGCACCAAACCTCTATCAGTATCAACAGGAACATATTTTGTGCAACTACACAGCTGCAAAACTGACCCAAAACATGGTGTGACAACAGAACGTGGACATGCAGTATATCCCCCACAGCTTCATTTAAAAACCATTGTTGAGGTCTTATCTCTCCCCTGCTCCCTCTGGTTGACCATTACCCGTGCTGAAGTTGAAGAGATGATGTAATATTGATGTTGTGATGTCAAGCAGCTTGAGCCACAACAGTGTTTTCCACTATCTGCTGTTGTCATGACTCATACAATACAACGCACTACTCTGGCATCAAACAGTGTGCACCTCTACAAACTATTATTTGTCCACATGCATCAGTTGCTGGTGAAGTCCACTGTGAGAAACTTGCTTTATGCTTCTTAGATCCAGCGTTTAAAAGCACCTGGTTAAGTGAAAACCAGTAGAAATCACCACGGCAACTGTTTGCACCAGAGCATGGTAGGGGTGTAACGATACATCGATCCACATTGATACATTGATTCATTGATTAACGATCCAATTACATCGATGCAGAATGAAAACATTGATCCGTATCGTCATCTTAAAGATACACCTTTATTTTGAAATTCACATAGCACGTCTGTGTCACCATTTTAGTGAACAGGTCTATTTTTATTATTTTTTGGTACAGAAGAATACTGTTTTTCATTTAAATGCCTGATACCTGGAAGAGCTCAGAAATAAAATGGTCAAATCATATTCTAGTTGTTTTTGTGAGTTGATGTAAATGATTGTGTTTGATGGGCATATGATATTGTGTCATATCGATCGCAGGCTCCTGAATCAAATCGATATCGTATCGTGACAGACTTTGTGATATCGGCAAACATCGTATCGTCATGCAAACAATCAATATAATATCGTATCGTGATGAAGCTGGTGATTTACACCCCTAAAGCATGGTTGGTTGACTGTGTTTAAAAATGTGATTATGTGGTGAGATCTTCACGTTGAGCCAAACAAAGTGGTTGAAAGACGTCACACAATAGTGTGCCATGCTACTAATGGGTTTCCTAAAGCGGAGGTTTTTGTGAAAGGTGCACTATGTCCTTTACACAATGGGTAGCCCAGCAGATGTGCTTAAGCCATGCTGTCGCCTCCATCACACGACAACGCTACACCTAACCTGCATGATGTGTAACGCTGGTTGTGTAAATTGCATGTCATAGGACAGAGAGAAAGAGGAAGGAATGAGAAATGGAAACTCACCCTTTATCCTCAAGCTCTCAGGGACGCCATCCTGCAGGAACAACAAAAAAAGAAAAATGAGAGGCTATCAGAGTCACAGTAAACCACAAGTTCATCGACGTGTTTCCATTTAGCCGAGTGAGTGAGATCTGTGGTGCCTGTACCATTGAAATTAAATTCTATAGACCACTTAATACATTGGCCATCTCTCTTTACAAACACTTGAGTGTTCAATTGAGATTATATGTCAGTGCAGCCATGACATTAACGTCCAAGAATTTCTCTCTTACTGAAAGAACTTGTCTGACACACTGTCGTGTCGCCTGTTTGAATGGCAATCAATGATGCACTGATAAGTCAGACATTAATGTGCCATTATGTTAAGTGGTAATTTTCCTTACTTACATGGACAATGATAAACCTTTTAAGTGGTAACCCATATCATGTCACCTCCACTATGATTTTATTTTGTCCATCAAGGGAAGACAATTTTATTTCTACAGGACATTTCATTCACAAAGACAATTCAAAGGGCTTTACATAATACATTAAAAAGCATTTAGAAGTTCAGAAAAACAACATAAAATCACCAAAATGCAAATAAAAGGCACAGAAACCTTTTAAAAGGAAATGGAAAAAGAAAACAAGGACATAAACGCAGCATTGAAGGATAAGGTAGTTTATAATGAGTATTTAAGGTTCAGTCAAAGGGAGTAATTACGCATTAAGGATATTTACAACACATTCTTACCCATAACTTGTCAAACACTGATGCCTTGTCAGTGGCCGTATGCACCCAACAATGGTGTTCTGGGCACCCCTCTACCATCAGTTTTAGACCATCAGGGCAAGCATCTAAGTGTCTGTTTGTTACACGCATAATGTCTTTTCACAATAAACGTTCATGTTCACAGGAAATGCATAGTTTCTGCTTGTTACATGCATAGTCTATTTTCAAAATAAGCTTCCAACACAGGTTAACTTAGTTTCTAGGTGTACTTCGTAACGTTCAGGCAGCAAAAGCACTTGGTTAGGATCAGAGAAAAAAGCAGTTTGGGTTAGAATAAGTGTATTTGCTACTGACGTAACGTAAAGTGACTTATGTCCAGAGTTGAAAATTAGCACCAACCACCAAATGTTGGTAAAATATGCAAGAGGCCGCTGGATTTGCTTCACTCACTGGCATCAGAAGCTAGGGGCCAATGACCAAGCATTGTTGTTGACAAGTTTTTGGTGAAAAAGGGTTAAAATTTTTAGGATCTATCTCAAGGATATTTAATTATTCCTTACTTAATCTTTTTCTCCCTCCAATTAGAAGTTACACTGTTCCTCACTCCTATTTTATCATAGAAATTTATGGACCTGATGTTGCTCTGCTGTTTTCCAACATGAGTGTTGCCTTTCGACTCTAACTCGTTCTTTCTATCTTTCTGCCTCTCTTTGTCTTTCCTGGTGTCTAAGATCGGATGTCCATATATGCCTCTTGAGGTGTCTTGGATCACTTGAACAATTCTGCAGTATATCCTCACTCACAGCAAATCAGAACATAACTGTATTTGAAAAAAAGAGTGAAATCATTCAAACCTAGTGCAGAGAGACATAAAGAAGAGCAAAAATCTATGACCCCTTGAGTAGGTGCACTATAAAATCAGCTGCATTTAGAGCATGCATAGTGATGATGGTTGTAGAAAATGCTGTTATCAGGACTACTACTCTGAGTAGTCTGCTGCTCTCCACAAAACCATGAATACGAAAGAAAGAGGCATAAATATTTGATTTCTCTACAGTGAAATCTGCATAGCTCATCCTTCTCGTTCTTGTACAGAAAATTCAGCCTCTCTATCTACCAGCTCGAGCACAGTGGTGTTATGGAGAAGATGCATTATGCAACAGGTCTACAGTCAATAATGAAGAGTGGTCCATGACTACCTACTGAAAATAGCAGATTACCCAATTCCTGTGTTTGCACAGTGAATATGCATATTGTGTAGTTTCTTACTAAAATATGCTTGATTTGATTCTAAGTCAATTAATAAAGCATGTGAATACATTTAAAGTATTTTACACACATATGGACACATGTATCAAAAGATCTCCCTGGTTAAAAATTAATTTTGACCACAATACTAATTCAGCTCAACCCAATGTTTGATTACTACACTGTGTATCATTGTCAGTGATTCTGTCTGTGCCATTTTATCCTTCTGATACTTCCCTGAAGATCTTTCTGAGTCTGTACACTTACATTAATATCTGTTGTTGCTAATGAGGCTGTTTCAATTAGATTTCTGTCAATCTATTCATCAATTCATCGACTTTTCACGTTAGCACGAAAATGAGTACAAAGATTAATAGTGGTTGTATGTGTTTGGAATCAACCCCTTCATATTCAGAGGAAAAGTTAAAATACAACTATTTCAAAATGCCCCCCACTCTCTCCTATCTGTGCAAAGTTTGTCACTAAAGAGATGTTTTCACATTCCTCTGTTTGGGAAGGAGATATCTGTGCAAAAAATCTGCGATTTAAACATGCCCCAGGCAAGCTAGATTGTGTAAGTCACAAATTCAAAAAAGCCAATCGCTGTCTAATATGCAAATGCCAGCAAAGAAACTTGAAACCTCCAGGTCAGAGTGGACTTATTACACCTAATATAAAAAGCTCAGCTAGACAGAATGAAACTTTTTTGGCTGACAAAGTTTGAAGACAAGTGAAAAATGGCCTAGCAAAAAAAAAAAACGAGCTCCTCTGTCTGAGGAGGCAAAGAAGAGCAAAAAGGAGAGTGATAAAAGAAGAGGAAAAACAAGAGTAAACCTCAGTCAGGCGTTCAAGAGATGGAGGGCGCTCAGTGACCAAAGAGGCTTCAAAACCGATGTCCAGCTAGCTTTCTTTCTAATGGATCAGTAAGTAACACGGCTAAATGTTAGCTAGACGAAAGAGGACAGTACTGTACTGGCTGCTAGTTCATTCCTAGCTGGCCAGCAACCAGGGACCGGGTAGCGAGTGTTGGTCGGCTGACATCCTCGTTGCCATTCTACGGCAGCCCTCAGACAGTGATACTCCCCTCCCTTCCTTCTGTTCTCTTCTCATGGAGGCAGCTATCACCCAGCTAAGTTACACCCAGCTAAGTGAACACTGAACTTTGTTTCCCATTCAATTTGAGCTCCAACCGGCCGCATCATTTCCATACGGTACCATTTATTCTAGAATCGGGACTGTTTACATGTGCATATTGGTATAATTCCACTGTGTCTACTGTTGTTTGAACTGATACTGTACATATTGGTATAATTTACTGTGAGTTGTTTGTGCTGGTACTGTGCATTCTGGTGTAATTATTTGCATTACTATTTGTTTTTTCTTCAGATGAATCTGATAATTGTTGCTCGGTCTCTTTACTCATTTATTTAGTAGGAGGGAGTGTCCACACACCCTCTCGTTCTACATAGAGGTATACCGGTGGCTTTACAGCCTACATTTTATTTAATTTAGAGAGTCTAATAGGGTCATATTATTGATTATTTCTGATCTCCACAGTCAAAAACGAATCCTGTCTGTTGCCTCTTTAAAGGTATATCGTTACCGTGTTCCTTTTCCTGAACCTAACCACAGTACCTTTTCGTTACATACTTTAAGTCATTTGTGGGGCCCTAATTCATAGGATACCATGCAAACTGATCTGTGTGTATTTATCGTAGGACATAATTTGAACCACTGTATAAAGATACATTGAACAAGCTTATAAACAACATCAATAAATAAAACTACCCATACCATTCTGATACATCTGTTATTCGCCGATTGCACAACTCCAATGTCTATGGAAAGCTGCAGCGACCACTCCAAGCTGTTTGCGGCTGTTTGATTCTGCAGCAAAGTGAGGCCAAACTAAAAATAAGAAATAGTTTAACTTTTTAAAGTAAATTGCATCCAGAGATACCAGCCAATCTGTAAACAAAGTCCTGTGACTGCTGTGACATGATGACGTTTGGTAGAAACTATTTCTTCCTGCCTGAAACATATGACACGCCTCCCAACTACAGAAAAAAGTCATTACTGTGGCAAGCCCCACTTCACCACTGCTTGGTGTGTTTTCAGGGTAATGCTAGCCATCCTGATGCACACTGCTCTTTCATCAGTCAATCTAAGCAGCGGTGGTGGGCAAGGTGCAAGGCTGGATTCTGAATTTCTTAGTGAGTAAGTGTGCTTCCAGCCCCTTTTCAGATGTATATATTTTTTACTGTCTATGTGGGAAAACCATATTATATAAAATTTTAATCATAGCATAGTATTTTTACAGACTTTAAAACATGTCTGGAGGGGAACCTTAACAATGGATTACTTTATTTTCTGGAAAAATGTCATCTAGTGTATAACCAGCTTTACTGTCATCTTATTAATTTGATTTTAAAAATGAGTTAAAGTCTACAGGTAACCAAAATACCTAAAAGACAACCAAATTAAACATCATGATCTGGTAAACAGTCGTCCCTGCAGTCATCTTTCTGGATGTTTTACAAAACACTGCTGACTTGCGACACAGTAGGCCCAAATCACAAAAAGCACCTGTGGCTCTCTGACATTCTTCGTACCCCTCTGGAGGAGGTGACATTTGGAATTGCACTAGGTAGGGAAGATATCAAATGGGGCTTATTTGCATATGGCAGACAGTGTTCACACTTCATTTGTTTGAAGAGAGTGATTTCCCCAGGGCCGCTGGCAGGCCTGTCTCTGCTGCCCTCAGACTCTGGGGACGTTGAAGCACCCAGCTGTACAACCCGTGGCTCATCTGCCCCTGTCACAGCTAGCTGGCTGACCGCCCACATCTCTCTCTCTCGCTCTGTGACTTTATCTCTCAACCCCCCCCTCACTCCACCTACGCCCCCCTTCTCCTTCTCCTCTCCTCCTGCTTCACATCTCACATTCCTCACTCCTCCACACCATCAACTTCCAAGTGCACTTCAACTTGAAACATATAACTGCAAATTGCAACACACCTGTATGACAAGTGAGTAGAATTTACAGTAGAATGCCCCAAGCAAGGCTGAATCTATCTTTTAGTTCAGACCAATAGTGCTGGGTGAAAAACAACACAGCTCCCTCATTCACTTCAATGTGACAGTGGGAAAGCAAAGGTGCTGATGCAGACGGCTCTGGACAAAAAAAAAACGCAAGGCACCTGGCAAAAACGTTTAACCTGGCTCAGCTTGTGCTGCGGTTGATCTGCAACCTCATCTGGCGACAAACTGCACGGGAAAAAACAAAAACATTAAGGCATATTCCGACTAGATTACTGTGTAATGTGAACACTGTCATTTCACTGTTTATCTCACAATCGGTATAAAAGGAGGATACATAATTATTTACTCCATGATAACTCTCCAGAGTTGTAAAATCCTTCCTCACAGACTACCTTAGTGTTTTTTTTTTTTTTTTTTATCAAACTCAGAGTCTTTATCAGACAAAAAATGGAGATCAAAACACTGCATCAATTACACACATTTTGGGAGCTTTGAAAAATCAAGGTGCTGCTCCTTTTCCTTTGTATGCTGTTTTTCATCTAGCACCTGTACCCGATTGGAGCTGTGCGCACACAATCCATCTTCTTTACCTGTGGCAACACGCCCACACTCAAGTGATCCCTCTCCTTTTTTTTTAACAAAGCAGAAGTCATTATATCATTAATAAGTAACAACTACAATAAATAACCAGCCACACAGCAACAAAGATAAGCATGCAGCAGGACAGACTTTAAAAACAGAGTTTAACACCAGCATGGACATCGACATCTTGTTATTGTTATAGCAGATTGGCTCCATACGGCGTCTGCTTCCTCGGCCCCTGTGGAGACTTTACAGAAGCTGGTTACCTCTGCCTCAGGCTGGCTGCCATTTGAAAGTAGACAGCTCATCAAGATGAGTGACAAGGGCTGGGGCTAAAACTGACCAGCTGAGGAGGAGGAGGAGGGTGGAAATCATACTGACAGTAGTCACATTTAAGACAAACACTGTCTATTAGAGCTTAAAAGGTGCAGTCTGTGATTCTACTCTGACACATATTTTGTCAAATTCAGTGAATATCTCCTCTCGCTAGCTGGACCAAGCCACACAACACTATTCCAGCCAATCTGCAACAGGGGGCACCGGTGCTCGTGTACAGAATAAAGAAAAGGCCGTGGATGTTAAAAGAGCAACAGCCGTGGGAGCAAGAGGGACGGTAAAACGAAGCTTCTGAGGAAGCACTGACCGGAGTGGTGTATTTGTTTGAGTGACAAGTTCAATTATCAACAATCTTTCCCCAGAATCGTCGACCCCACCTTCAACTAAACCTACCGCACATCATCTTATGAATTTTATTCTTGTTATTTCTCCTATTCCCTGTCTCTTTATCTCAATCTCATTTGCCCAACCCCCCTCCCGCTCTTTCTCCCTCTCTCTGCTTATCCCCTGTTAATCTAGATTTGCCATGTGGCCAAGCCAGTGCTGGATGGATGGGGCTTTGCACACAGTTGTCCTTGCCTCCATTTTGTTTGTCCTGACATAACAGCTTGATGTCAGAGTGACAAACTCTCAGAAACTGTCCCTGGTGCAAGTCTGGCCACTGTTCAACAAATTTCACAAATTACACGTCACTTCATCACTCTTGCAGTGAAACTCTTTATGAAAAGAGCTTAAGTGAAATAACACTATGTAAAATAAACTCACCCTGTAATAGAGGCTTGACAACATTAACTCTGAGTGGTATTCCCATTACAATCAATTATAATTAGGACTGGATTCTAGTGGCCAGGATCTGTGTCCTATTCCTGACCCCCTGTGGAGGATTTCACAGTGAATTTCTGAAACAATACCATGGGAATTATGGGTAGAGCATGTGACCAGCTGTTTATGGCCGAGTGCCTCCTGGTGATTGAAGTCTTTGTGAGGAAAGCATATAAAGGTCGTATCCGATCCCGTTACCCTTGTCAAACACTGTCCTTCAAAGCGAAGGAAAAGGCATAGCATTAACACGGCCACTGATGTATCGCAGCTTGTGGCAGGGGGCTCAAAGGACACTCAGTACCTTTCTCTGAATGTGCAGATTATGTCAGTTAGAAAAATTATTATATTATCATGTTCTATTAATGATGAATGTGAGAGAAATTTAATCAAAAATGTGATGCAAGCTAGGTTTTGAAAAAGCTTTAATTGCTATAAGTTTGTAAGTAGAGACTTTTAGTGCCAACAAATGTTGAGCTGAGAGCAACGTTCTGAAACTTGGGATTACTTTTCTACAATCGGTGGATATCTCATTTCGAAGCAACTGTTCTTTAACACCGCTCACTCAACTGTATTGACAAGTGGATGACCTGTGTCTCTCTGCAATCTAGCCAGCAGCGGAGAAAATTCTCTAAGCAACGAAAAGGCCGATGACATATTTGGGAAAAAGGGCCTGCAATGTGGCCATTTTTCACCAAAGGGCCGTAAATTTCCACAGCCTCTCCTGACAGGCGGATAGATGAGCGGAGTTTACCTCTGTCCTCTCACAGGATGAATTGTAATGGTATGCAGATGCTGTAATGACATTCCTCTGCGATGTAATCACAGCGCCAGGCACATTAATTTCATTGGAGTGGAAAAGCACATACATCATTTTTGTAGCTTCTCGTCAAATTCTCACTACATGTGGACGTACATTAGTTTAATTATTAAAGTCACTCTGGTTCCAAAGCAGGCCAATAAGAAGAGAAACTAGTAAGTTTCAACACAAGATCATATACTGTTTGGTACAGTAAAGCACTATTTACGACACCTTCAAAATGTGCCATTGGTTGAACTAAACCTAATTTAAGAGGGTATGCATGCTTCATTCAAATGACATGGCAATACAATAAAAAGCACACAGTGCAATCTCAGTGCAGTACAACAGAGAATAATGTGAAAGCAGGGATACCTAAGATTGCATGGGGGGAAAAAAGATAAAAGCATCAGTACAGGAAAGTGGGAAAAAAAAGTGGGGAAAAAAATGCAAAGCAAATTGTGAAGTCAACACAAGTAGAGATACCTCCAAGATATGTGTCTCAGTGTTTTTATATTACCACCGTACTCTAAAATAAAGTTCTGGTAATAGGACACTTCCCTACCTAGATCAGTTACACTTATTGATATCTAAGAGCTCAATCTATCCCCAAAATCCAATACCTACAGGTGAGTACACAGGCTAAGGAAAGCCACATTATATCCCCGTTACAAGATGAAACTGTGAGGCTCTGAAATCTAGAAAGCTTATTTTTCCTTGCCTTTGTTTCCTTGCCTTCATGCAGGATCTAGGAGCTGTGGTCCAAAGTATTAACACAACAATGGTGCAGTGCTGCACTGTACATAGAGGTGCAGTTAAGAAAACAGTGATCTGGTTCTTTAAGAGAGAAATCCAGCACTGTCCAGGCAGGGGTGGACGTTGGATCGCTTGCCTCTTTCTTACAGTATAAAGCATCCCACTCTGGCAGAAGTGCTATCTCTGCACTTTACTTAGATCATATTACAGGATTTTTGGGTATTGAAGTTTAAATCTCTTCACTTCCTTCACACACACACACAATTTCCAGAGTAGCTGTGGCTAGAAAGAAGCAGAACTCTTGCATAGCTGATAGCTGCGGTCTCCGTGTTTAGAAAGCATCTCTCTGAATAAATCTTGCTCTAAAGGTCAAAATGTGTTTGACCATTGTGTCGATTTAACAGCTTTGCATCGCTCCCGGCTCCTCACTCAACTCTGATACAGTCCAATAACGTTCCTACCATCTGTTTCCTCTGTATCGCTCTCCGTCTTCCTCGCTTTCTAACCACCTCTTAACCCACCCACCCTTTGGTACCACTATCTTTGCCTTTCATTCCCATGCAGAGTGACTAAAGCTGTCTGGGACAAATTTTAAATGCAATATTTAGTCTGAAGATGACAGACTGCCTTGAAGTAAAAGCAAACATAACAAATGTTCTTTATTGTCCCTGCTAATTTTTATCTTGGATTGAATAGAGTGGAGATGTGTTTACCAGGGAACATAACAGCAAAGGGGGCTTATGGGAAATGTGTACTAAGGGACCACAATCCGACTAATGCCTCTTGACAAAACACTTTGCTTTCCTCAAGTCCCCCTCTGCCAAAACAGTCAATTTCAATCCCAGTCTGGCTCTAATTGATCCATCTCTGCTACTCTGGTGTTTTGGAATTGAATAAGAGAAAAAACAGACTATGCTACTAGTTTAGAGGAAAATAAATGTAACTTGTTCCTTCAGATGCAGCCAAAGCGATTAATAAAAGCAGCTGATTTTGCTTGTGGGGCCTGCCCTGTATCGCTAAGTCAATAAGCATTAAATTACATCTTTTACTTTAAATGTTCAGCTAAAATGACATGCGACCATCCTCACTTCATTCAAAGCTCGTCTTCATCTTTGCTCAGCTGTGCCTCGCATAAATCCGATGTTGTCTTTGAAAAGACAGTCCCCTGGCACAGAGGGAGGGATAATGATTCATCAAGTATTTTTCAGTGGGCAGACAAACAACAACAACAGGAGAGTCATCTGATGGAGGAAGAAAGCGCCACTGTAATTAGTTTCATACTTGGCAAAAGCACATACTCCTCTTGTTACAGACAGCAAATGAAAAAAGGCTTCGATCAATACCTTGTGTCGAAATCTCACGACTGGTCGATAGAGCGGCGACCTGAATCCCTCCTTGTTGGGTCTCCCGTTGGCGCCGAGCACAGCGAGCCCCATCAGTAAAATTGCCGCCGACCACCATCTGGCTGTCTTCATTGGTCTTTTCCTGTCAAAAACCAAACAAGAAAGGTGAGTGCTCTTCTCCAACACTCTGGAGGTTCAATACTGGTTAGCCAAGACAATACATCAAGTCTGCCGTAATTAGTGTAGACAATGGGAAGCGCAAAACTGTCGCTGGTTTAAACTAAAGCTATCAATACGTGCCCCACACTCGGCAAGGAGATTAGATCTCCTTTTGAATCAATTAGGGGAAATAGACGTCATGAGAAAATCAAGATAAAGAAGACAAAGAGCCAATATATTAAGGCAATTAAAGTGAGGGCTTTGGATTAATTAGTCTGAGTGTCAAAGTCAAGCAACTGTGATGTGGCAGAGAGATGATATCGCAAACAGTTTCCTCACACCCTCACAGAGATGCAGGCCAAATACATTTATTTAAGCGAGAGAGAATATTCACTTTTCACCTCCGATATAACTGCATTTTAATAATTTATTGCGGTGTATAAAAACGAGTTTGACCTTTGCATAGCATGAATTAAACAAAACAGTGTTTGTGGGGGGGAAAAAAAACATGACCCGAAAGAATCTGTGTCCCAGAAACAGCAACGTTCAAGGAAGTAAAATCACAGGAAATACATGGATAGACTTTAGCCACTGCTCTCAAATTGCCTAACCCAATGTAACACACAAAATACACAAACACATGCACACAAGATTTATGTTAAAAATCTGCTGTGTTTGTTCCTTCTTATTTTCATCCCTCGTCTTTATCTGCATTTATGCCCTCAGTTCTTTGAGCAGCACAAAATCCCCTTTGTTAGAAGAGCTTTATAAATAAATTTGACTCGACTTGACTTGTTGATTTTCATAGGCAAACACTGAGCTGTACTTTCTAAGCCGTTTCAAGCCACCAGTGTCTGCTCATCATCCTCCAGCAGAGGAGATGACTGACAGCAGGATTGTGACCCCGCTTCCTTGTTCTTCTGGAGTGACACAGAGTCAGACAACAATGGCACTGTTGTGGCAGCTCTGTGGGCCCACATGCTATTCACTGGAGGTCAGGAGGTTGTGCCGGCAGAGCAGTGTGTCGCTTTGATGTGCCGGACGTACAGGGAACATTGAAACTTTATTTTCGTGACTTTATGTGACTTTTATTGCTTTCTTGAGCTGTCTGACACCTGCAGATTTTCTGCACAACTTCTGCTTTGAAACTTCATCCCTTTATTTTGGTTTTTCGAAAACTTGGCCTGTGCACTGTATGGGATTCATGCTGACGGAGATTTAAACTTTCAATTACAAGAACAAACATCAACAGCTGGGGTGTGCATATAATTGTCTGCCAGCTTCAACACCCATTTTCCAGACTTTATGCTTAACTTTTGGAGACACTGGCATTTTAAAATCTATGTTCTTTGTCAAAAAAATTTGATAAAATTACACCCACCACCAGCCCACCTGCGGTACCAACCCACCCACCTTGCCCCATTAAATTTACAGAAATATTAAAGTCACACTGTCACAACTGAGACAAACCAAACAGCTAATTAGAGCATATATTCAAAGGAAATATCTACAAAGAAACTACAGTACATGTTATATGCAACATACTGGCATTATGATTCTGCTTTAAGCCTTGGTCTTTACCTATTTTCCTTCAGAACAAAGCCTTAAGCACTTAAAGATGAAATGTCTCATCATGCCAGTCCCTGACTCCCGTCTCTGTCTCTGAAGTTGGGAGGGGGCATTGAAAGTGCCTTGATAATCCAGTGGGCAGGGAGTTTCTATTCCAAACTATGAGTCTAGAAATTCAAAAGATCTCTGAACCCAGCAAAGTAATTGTTAAAACGCTCTTAATGATCAACAGCCTTACCAACCCCCTGCAGACATATTATGGTCGTTCTGTGCTATGGGGCAGTAAAAATCGTACTTATTGCCTCTTTAATGTGATCATATTCATTCTCTATGCACTTCTAAACTCTCCAGATCCAGGTAGAAACCCTGCCTGTAGCTGCTGCTGCTCCACTTCTCTGCTAACACAGTCTTTGAGCCACACTAGGTGGATTACCATATCTGCAAGCACAATCAATCAACTTCTTTGCGGCGTCCCAGTGTTAAATGGGTTATTAATGGACTAAGTTTTGCAGGATGCTGTGTCAGAGACAGAGACATATGCACAGTTTTAAGAAGTTTAACTGTATCACACAGCGGAGTTTGTCGCTGATGAAAGCTGAAGTGTTTGGGGCTACATTATCTGCTCAGATTCAACCAAATGTTTCAAAACTCATTGGATGATGCTTCACAGTGCAGTTGGACAATGACCTGAAGCATACTGCAAAAGCAACCAAAGACATTTTTAAGGCAAAGAAGTGGAATGTTCTGCAATGGCCAAGTCATATCATCTGACCTGAATCCAATTGTGCATGCGTTTCTCTTGCTGAAGCCAAAACTGAGGGCAAAACACCCAAAACACAAGCAGGAAGTGCAGACGGCTGCAGTAAAGGGCTGGCAGAGCATCACCAGGGAAGAAACCCAGCATCTGATGATGCCTATGTGTCCAACACTTCAGGCAGTCATTGACTGTAAAGGATTTGCAACCAAGTATTAAAACTGACTGT